GCGTTCAATTAATCACTCAAAATTAATCGGTGTGCTGAATATATTCGGGCGCACTTCTTGCCGCCCAGTGATGAATCGATGAGCCAGCGAGCAAAAAAGCGCAGGCTGCTGCCTAAGTGGCAGGAGTCAAACTGGCTCTGATTTTGAAGGGTCTCCCTCACCGAACAATATGGCCTATTATTCCGCCCTCGCCGAGCGCAAATGAGCCGGTCTGCGCTGCTGCCTGCGTGAATTTAATTACTGCGCGCGGGGGCTCCTCTGGTGATTCAAAATCCATGTAGCGCCTAATTAAATGCGCGCCGGCTGCCTCCACCGCATTTACAAATCACAATTACACTCCCCATTACTTGATTACACTCGGATACGCCAGAGGTGGGGGCGCTACACCTGCACACTACTTACAGACGAATCGCATTTCCGAATCACCATTTATCATTGTTGCGCTCCGATGGGGTGTTTGTTTGTCTTGGTTTGCGGCTCGTTCTGAGCACAATGCATGATCAAACGAGTACTATTTAACCTTTGCATCACATTGGCTTTTGTCTAAATTTAGTTGTTTTGTGCAATTTTAATATCAAGGGAAGGTGATAGGAATCTACTTTTGAGGATAAATTTGAAGGGTATGGATTTTGAGTATCAGACTTTTTTTTATAGATCTTCAAAGTTGAAAAAACTACTGTTTAGTAATTGAAAGTTGAGAAGAATATAAAATCATATTTGTATTGTATTTTTAGAAATTTTAACACGTATTTATCAAATTAAATTTAGGAATAATTTAAATTGTCTCTTTAAATAATAATAATAATTGAATTACCAAATGGATTTCATTGCTTTTGAATATTTCAGATTTTTCGTAAAAAATATTTCCCCCAAGTCATTTGGTGCACCCAAGGCAGGATGCGCCTCTAGCTCTCCGCCGAGGGACGATTGAGAAATGCAGGACCGTTTGAAATTTATTTGCCAGCCCGGAGCATTATTGGCTTCTCGGCAAGACAAACTGAGCCCTTTTTATTCTGCAACGGACAAATAAATAAATAAATAAGCAATAAGTAACACACTCGCTCGGCGGCCGTAAATCTCAATAACGTGTGCAGCAGTTGGGCAAATCAGCAATTCGTTCCTAATAACATAACTCACCGATTCCGCCCGCAAATCGCCGGCAAATTGAATGATTGGCTTTTTCCGGGCTGTCGAACGAAAACGCACGGGATATAAAATGAAAGGGGTGAACGCAACCGAGAAGTTCATCTACGTCAAGCAAATTGCCTATCTCAGTGACAGCTGCAGCACTGGGTATAATGGACACAATTGCACATTTGCAGCAAAGTGAATTCTTCTTACTTTCATATGAACCAAGAAAATGAATGACAATGTCTCTTAGAAATTTTTAAATTGTCATTCAAAAAGTTAATAATTTAATTTTGTAATCAATTAAACTTATCACAGCTAATGATGAGTAAATTTAAGTTAATCGAATTAAATTTAAAATAATGCAGCAAATTTTCTGAATAAAAATGAATTTTCAAAATCACGAAAATAAATAATTAATACAAATAATTTAAATATCAAAGTGCTTTTTATCATCTTAGAATAGATGAATTTAATGACACGCATTTCTGGCACCTGAATTTTCAAACTATAGGCAACTTGCAAATCTATGCTGCCTTGCTGGTTGCATAGCACTCGTTCGATATACAAAAAATTAAAACATTCAATTATTATTAATTTATTATTTATTTAAATGGAATTGCTTCATAAACGTTATTGATGTATTTAAAGTGAATAGAAATTCTCATAATAGGTCAATAATCTATGCAATTATAAGTAATTGAGGGATAACAATTTAATTGTGGTAATTACTCATTTTCTCAAATATGTGCTTGTGGATTTGCTAAAAATAGATGAGACTGATGAGTTTTGCTAACGCAAGCAATTTCCAACGGCCATCACACTCACGTTAATTTGCGCGATCAAATCGGGAGGCCGAGCGATTCGGCAATTTCGATTTGCGAATTTTAATCAAAGTGCAATTAGCGATGGGGTCAATTAAAATCAAATCAGCGTGATTGAGTGGCGAGCGAGAGCGGCATTGTGGCGTGTGTTTGTGCGGTTTTGCGGGCGATATTCGGCTCACCGTAGGTAGCAGATCCATCCAGCAGCACAAATACTCATCTCAATGGCTCCCAGCAACAGGTACAGACACATTGATTATTTATTGCTCTCTCTCTCTCGCTCGGCTCCCAGCCACGGACAGTATGTGCATGCGGCGGGGGCGGTTCTTTGAGAGGCAAATCGCTCTCGGCTGGATTAAAGGCGCTGCGCGTGTTTGTGATTTTTTTATCCATTTGTAGCGTGCATTCCTCATTGGCTTTCGTTGACGCTGGAATTTTTCGCCAAATGAAGGAAAGAGTGAAAAACAATATGCATTTTACATCCGTTGGAAAGTGGAAAATGCTCATAAGTCTATAAAAAAATAAAAGTTAACTTTTCCCCCTTCAACAGTAGATTCTCTAATATCATTTTTTTTCTGAACAATTTTACAATAATTTGCTTCTAAACCGTGTTAAAGAATATTAGTATTACATTTCAATTCAAAATCTTCTATATTATCTTTTATTAAAAAAATAAATTTCAATAAAAAAAAGAAACTGCTTCATTTCAGTATTCTTTTCTAAATATGATAAATTAAAGTAAATTCAGTTTGCCTCTTTATTTTTTAATATTAATTAATAACAATTTATACCTTTGTGGCTTATTAAACAACGAAAGTTTATTGGATATAAAAAATATTTCTGAATATTCAACTTTTAATAAAGTTTCTTTCTTGTGTCAGGAATTGTAGGGAACTCTCCCTCGCATTGATCTAGAACGACGGCAACGATAAGTGCCATTAAACGAGCGTGCACGTCTCTGGCTCATATGTATGTAAATATGACGTCATCTGCATGGAAATTTGGCGCGACGCACCCTCTCTCGCTGCACGCCTAGTCATTTCCCGTGTGCCGTCCCTCGCACGAACGTATGCTCAGCCACATAGGTGTACTTGCAGAAGTGCGTGCTTAATTATTGATCGCGACAGCCACGAATTTCACGTGTCATTTAATAAACACCGGCCATCAATCACCGCGATGCACTATTTTCGTTGGCCCACCCTGTTCGCACCGAAAAGCTCTTTCTCTCTCTCGCACTTGGCGGCGCGTGCAATCGCTCATGTCCAATTTGGGATCAACAACTAACGCGCTGTGACTCTCGGTCTCTTCGAATTATTCGCCGTCGCTGCCTGTCTGCGCCGACCGGTCGCAGATGATGTAGCTCGTAAATTTAATTTGTAACTTGGAACATAGAATAGACTCTCGCTTTATGTACTACCAACCTGCTACCGACTATACATACAATTTCTCTTTCACTACAAATTTTCTTTCTTGCCATGTTCCTCCAACTTTTTAAAAGCCCACATGGTTAATTAAACAAAAGAAATTTACTTCAGATTTTAGTTGAATTAATTTGCAGTCTCATTTTTCTTAATAAAATCATTCTAGTCAGTGAAATATAAGATATTACTTCTGTGCAATGAGAGCTTCTACTCACATTATAAATAATCATAATCAATCTCGGCTTTTACTTATTATTTCATCTATATTTGATTGAATGCAAAATTTAAAAAAAAAATGTGCCAAAATAAAATGTAGAAATATAGAATTTAATAACTATTTAAAATTTAAAACATAATTAAAAATATTTTAATTAAATAATTTAAGAAATCAAATTAAAATATAATATTAAAATATGTTTGTGATAATTATCTAAATTACAAATTTTTACTTGTATTACTAACCAATTCTATCAGAGCTATGAACAAAAATTAATAATTATTCGCTTGAGAATAGCAATATTTTCTTACGTTTATTCTACACTCTTAGTTTCCCCTTGTAAAAATAAATCAAACTACTTGAAATAAAAAATTAAATGATCTTAATTAAGATTTACGAATGTTATGAAAGACCACCGTGATATCACGACAGAAGTGCCAAATCCGCTATGTATCTGCTTCTCTTCCTTCTGCCAGTGCCAAGATTGATGATAATCGCGGTTGGGGACACAACTAATAATTCCGGATTTTCGCACCACGTGCAACATTTCATGCACGCCCTAATAATTATTAATGGATGGAATTTTAATTATCCCTGTGCTATGTGAGAGTCCGTGTAGGTTGATGGCGGTGGCCACCGCCGCGTTTTAATTAAACACGCCGGCGGCTCCGCTAATTATATTATCAAGTAATTAATAAGCAGGCCGCCGAGATTTGTGTGTACGAACGCGTGAGATTCATCTCCACGCAGTGTGAAGGAATGATCCGCGCGCGATAATCTGGTGGTCGGCGCCGGCCGCGTCCACTTTAATCAACGCTCATTTCATTAACGCCCTCTTGTTGGAAAGTGACGTTGCCTTGATTACAATCTACTCAAATTGTACAAAATATGAATTATGAGAGTGAAAATTTTGCACTTTCAAAACTAATTTTGTATTCAGTGAAAATTTCAATTCTATTTAATTTTATTTAAGAAACAACAAATATAACGATTTTATTATCATTTTCAAGTTCAATAATTCAATTATTTTAAATTTACGATCAATTTTTTGTTAGAGTGAAATAAATGAACGAAATAAATATTATTTACTTATATTTACTGCACTTACTGAATTTAGAAAAGATTATTTTGTGCCGTTTATTTTTTCTGAAAAAGCTAGATCTTAAATCATCAGCAATTATTTTGATTTGAATTTGGCATGTATTAAGTTTTGAATTTAATCCATACTTAATTAGTATTAATTGGAGTTTTTTCTTTCATACTTTCCTATAAAAGCATTCAAAATGCTTTCGCATTTGACGAACACACATTAAACGAACGGAAATTTTAATTGCATCCGTCGCATCCGTTTGCAGACAATTTTTTTAATTACTCACCGACGTGCTCAAATCGTGTCAAAAAGGCACTCACCTGTCGTAATAGTAGTCCCTGCAACAGAAAAAGCAGACAATGTTCAGTAAACTTGCGGCATCATTATTTCGTTCTGTTTGGTCGCTCGCAGCGAGAATGAAATGATAATTATTCATATATTATTATTCCAGGACACGTCGCGGCAATTACACAAACTGAATCGCGGCGTGTTTGCTCTTTTCTGAAGTGCAGCCTGCCCCGAATCACAATTATCAGCGGAGCAGAGGGTGATACAAAGCAAGCAGTTTTTATGGCCAGCGAAATCAGTGGCGGCGCAAACACCTTGGGGTGCGGCGGCATGACCAGAAAGCTGAGCAGCCGCGCCATCAATTATTCACCGCGCTCCAGTGCTTTCTTGGCTGGTCAAGCAGCGCCGAAGACACAACATAGGGACACGAAAATAATACATAAAGGAAAGGGAAGGAAAACAAATTATTAAAGGTATTATGATGAGAAAGGAATATTTTATAATACCAAAAATACAACATAAATAGATTATTTATTGAAAGCTGAAACGATTCAATTAGATTACATATTCTTATTGTGTGGAGATGTGAAAGAAACTTTTTATTCATTAAATTATTTTTAAGTATCATATTTTACATTTCAAAAGGAAATTAATTTTTCATCTTCATCATAGAAATTTTATTCTTTTCAGCTATTAAAAAAATCACACCTTCAAATTTTTACTGTTCTTCAATGTGAATTAAAGTTGACAAATTTGTGATTTAAAATCACACCCGTTTAAATTGAGTATCGGTTTTCCACCATTTTCAATATTTTTAACCAAAAGTTACTGCTTTAACCAAATTCCGATCATCTTCAGGTTTTGTCTCATTTGGCGGGCAAAGGTGCATTTCTCGGCTCGAAGTTTAGGAGTCCAATTTGTGTTTTTTTTTATCACGATTAAAAGGTCTTTTAAATTATGTCTACTTTCAGTAAAAAAGCTGATGGGGTCTTATAAAATAATGAAAATTCATGTCCGGAATTTTGCAATTTAGCGGCCAATGCTGCAGAAAATACACACTCTAGTGACAAATCTCAGCACGTGCAAGTATAAACATTAAAAGAGAAGAGATGATAACAAACGCGAATAAAACGAGGTGCAAAAGAAGCCTGTTTTACTTTTCCTTCTGCTGCACAACGCTTATCTCCTGCAGAGCCCACTCTCCACTTTTCTTATTTATTTGCTTATTTAACAAACAATGAGTTTTAATTTTCGAGCTGCGCGCAACACTGCCATAAAAGTGGCTCATCCATTTTATTTCCACCGCTGCCGGCACTTTATTCGTTTCATTCTCGGCGCAGCCCATTCACTCGTCCACCCTCGCGCCGCATCAAAAGTGTACGAATATTTATATTATGTGTAGCGAGGTTATGTAACAAACACAACTCGCGTCGCGTGTTCCCGCTGCCAACTTTTATTCTCGCTCGCAGCCAACTGGAATTAATCAACCGAAACATCATCATCTTACAATTAAATTCAAAACTAAAACACAATACAACTTTTAACAAAAAACCCTAGAATTTCGTAATCCAACCGCAAAAAACTGTGTTTTATGCGTAAGTTGAAAAGAATGATATTAAAATATTGAAGATCATTTTAACAAATATTTGAATGTACTGAATTAATTTAAAATCAATTTATTTTTAATAACAATATACTCTATCTGATATCATTAAACTGTGTGTCCTTTTGCAACAATATTTTAATTCAAGCATTATTTATGTCCTAATTACGCATTCTATTATAATCAGTTTTATAAGGCAAATATTAAGGGATTAATTTAAAAAAAAGTTTTTAGCTTATCAACTTTCAATCATGATTTTTTTTTTATTAATTCTCAAAACACATTTATATATTTTATTAGAATATTAAAAAGGGAAAGATTTGCTGACATAAAATTAGTTTCGTTGAACGAAACGATATCGTTTTGAATTTCGCCGCCGCATTACGATGAATAAAAGGCGATTTTGAGTGCCTCACTCTCTAGCTGGGCGTGCATGCTATTCGTCGTTTGAATCTCTGCAGCAGCAGAGTGTGAGAGCGAGAATGAATGGCTGCGAAAATGGCTCGATTAGGGGTGAATGGGGTGGTGTTAACACGGGGTAAAAGCACACCCTGCGCTTTTTCTCTCTCTCCTTTTTCCACTCGGGTGGTGGCACTCGATGAAAATCAATTGCATATTGACTCTCTCAGTCAGGCTCGAAGCGTATCATGCGTGAAAACAGGCACTAAAGTGTAAAAAGTAAATATGCACGAGGCTCAGCCAGCGACGGAACTGTTGCTCCGATCGCCGAGGAGAAAGAGACAAAGCGAAATGACTAATCAAACAACCCTTGGATTTTTGTTTTCCCGAACTTTGAAAAGTGGCATTGAAAGCTTCATAAACCCACAAAAGCAGCCGCTTGAAATATTGCTAGCTCGCGTGTCTTGTCAAATGTTTGTGTTTGCGTCGCCATATCAATTTGTCACAGGAGTAAAATATCCGAGAAATATATATCTGAAATTTAAAAAAGAAAAGCAAGCTTGGAGAAGAGCGGCTGTGATTTTAGCGAGCACTGAATTTTTGTTAGTTCTGCGCTGCACCGACGAAATGGATTCAATTATTCGGCTAATTGAAAGTAAACACACAGCTCTGGTGATCAATAATTTTCCAATCGCTCCCCTTTTCTGCAGTACACGTGACAAAAGAGAAAAAAAAATGAGACGCCGCCTAAGAATTTCCTTACTTGCGAAATATAAATTGAAAAGAAAAAATTTCCGGACGAGGAAAGGGAAGAAAGAAGTACAACATTTGGAAGGAGTCAAAAGTTCTCCATGAGAGTGAATTTTCCGCTCGCGATAGCGGAATGACGAAAAAGAATGGGCGGCTGCTGCTGGTGAGCAGTTGATCTCGGCGAGATTTATGCTCACAAGGTATGCTCCCGAGATGACACACCCCGATTTCAATGAAAATTGGTGTACAACTTCTACTACCCATTGGTACCCCAGAACGGTCATTAATTTTTGCCCAATTTTCCTTGTTTAATTTTTGCCATTTAAACTCCATGTAATTTGAATTACATTGGAGAAATCAGATGTAGGCAAATTATATACACAGAGGACGCTTTTGTTGCCTACATTTGATAGTTTTTAACATGCGTTTTAATGTAAACTACCCTCCCTTGTGAAATTGGGCAACTTTTGATAGCCATTCCAGAACACCCAAGGGTAGTGCAAGTTGCATACCAACTTTCAACAAAATCGGCGTGTGTCATCTCGGGAGCATACCTTGTCAGGTGTGATTTGCGCACCTGTGCTCTCGCACTACATATTCATTTCGGCACGCTGGCCTCGGTCGATTCGGAATCAATGGCAAACGTGTGTACGCAGCGAGGTGATACCAAAGTCAAACACGCAGAGGAAAAGGAAAGGTGCGGAGGTGAAATGAGTGTGTTGCCTCAGAAAAATAGTAAAAATTGTGCGAAATATATGATAATCCAAATATAGGCTGGTACAAAATTTTAGGACCAAAATTCTGTTTAAAAATTGTTAATATTTTAATACCAATGCATGAATTTGTTTTTTAAACAATGAAAAGCGTAATGGTTTTCTTCAAAATTGAGGTCACGTTTCATCAGCGTCATACACAGGTTGAAGGTATTAACGATTTTAAGTTTTAGTTTTTATAAAACGTTGATATTATGGATTTTTAAAGACAGTAAAAATTGATGCACAAAAATTTATTGCAATCAACCTAAGTCAACCGAGGCGGAGGATGGGTCTTCATGATCTTGAAATTTTTCAAAATTATTGCTGGTGGTGCTGTTTGCTGTTTCTTCCAACAATTTTTTTTTTTTTTTTCAAATAAATTGTTTTCAAAAATTGAATACAAAACAATCAGAAGAATATAAAATCAATATCCAACATAAAAATTATTGATTATAATAGATTTAAAATTCTTCAGAATTTATTTGATTACCTACAAAATCACCCATGTATGGAAACCGTATTTCTATGCCAAAATGAATAAAAATATTTAGCATCTTTACTTATTCAATATTATTCAAAAGTAGATGTTGTTATCACTTATCGCTATTTTAAATAAAATGTTATCTCATCTCCATTAATTTAAACGCATGTTTTAACAGGTTGCCCCAATTAATTAGTTGTGTGAATTTTCAAAATTAATTTATCATTTATTCTTTTAAAATTTCTTAAATTTTCTATACAATTTTTTTTACTCATAAAACGAATAAATCCCATTATCACGTTTTGTTGGTTCTTTGTACCGACGGTGGAAAATACATTTGATTGTTTATCCCTTTTCTTGGAACTCATAAAAATCGCAACAAATAAAACCAACTGTTGCTGCAGAAAATTGCGAGCATACGTGGTGAATGTTTAATGGGGCCATGCTGCCGTGAAGGCGGCGAAGGTAAGTTGATATTTCGAGAGAAAATAAAGAGAAAACTCACATACACACGGCGAACGAACAAATTTGGCGGATGGGGTCAAAATAACAATGAGCGCGGCTTTGTGTGCGGCAACAATGCTACTCGGGGGCTTTGTTGCGGCGCCAGTTTTATTCATGAGCGCCGCTCTTTTGCATATTTCAATGCAGCCGCTACTCGAGCGGGCTCTTTTGTTGCGCGCGTTCACTGCTCAGCCATTGTTGTGGTTAAGAATAAGGAATCAACTACGGCAAACAGCATCATTTATTCAGGGCCAAAACTCACCAGTCGTTGCCCGTTTTGGCGTTGTTTTGCCTCTTGCGGCCGGTCTGGTGCGCCTTGGGCTCAGCCACCATGTTCACATCTGAAACAAAAATTAACACAACATAAATGTATTTTTATTGTGCTAGTCAATTCAAATTTTGTAGTATAAGATATTTTATTTATATTCATTACTTATATCATTTAAAACATAAATTTAAAACAATAGTTTAAACCGGTTTATACTTTAAAAAATATTTTGTAACATTATTAATTTTTTTAGATTATTGAAATTATTTGTTTTTATTCAAATATTTATTCAAAATGTCATATTGTGTGATGCAATGCAATGTTATTTCTTTTTAAGCATTTATAAATTTAACTCGCTGTTGCTCTAGTATTAGTATGTACATATAAATTAAAACATGTCGCACTTTGAAACTAAAATTACATTCTTATTCTAAATTCTCCGTTTTTTTTTTTTTTTTTTTAGCTAAATGAGTAATAATTACAAAACTCAGGAATTAAACTTAAAGAATCCCCAAAATCAGCAATGAAACATGTGTATTTATGATGTGGGTTGTTGAATAGAAAAAAAACCCGTTTAAATAAGAATCTCCGCTCTTGAGTCTCGAAGTAAGAAAAAGCATGATTTGTTTTAACGAGAAAGCTCATGGTATTTTTTTCTGTTTTCGAACGAATTAGAGAAAAGCTGGAGCGTGCGTCTCCTTCGTCGCCGGTGGCTTTCGTCGAGGATTTATTAAGAAAGAAGTGCCTGCTCGGTCTAGATGATGGTGTTTGTTCTGCTGTTTTGATTTTGTGGGCCAGCCAGAGTTGAAAATAAATGCAGCACTAGTGGTGGTGACGGCTTCGGCGTGCTGACTTTTTATGCCCCGGGACTTTGCGAAGAGATTTAAGAGGAAAAGCTCCATTTCCCCAAGACTTTACCTGGGATTAAAGAAGGGCATTTTGCGGCGCAATTTGGAATTCAATTTTGCACCGCTGCGCTGGCTGACAAATAAATAAATTTGGGAAGCGGGCGAGCGAGCTGTTATTATGATAATAACACTAAAACCAAAACAACGTTCCGGCTGCACAAACACACCGAGCGTCTGAGAAGAAGGAAAACGCGAGGGAAAGAAAGTAGCGGCGCGCATTTGCATTTAAATTTTATTGCCGGAGAGCTGGCTGTGTGACACAATTTAGACAATTGTCAGCTCGCAAAAAATATAACGGAGGAAACACAAGTGGAGCTGCAGCGTTTTTCCTAACTCCAAACTCCTTCTCAAGAGGACCCAAAGCAGACAAACCGTGTACAAAAAGAGGTTATAGGGGTGAATTTGCATTTTAGCTTAACCGAGCCTTTTAAAAACATTACTCTTCACTTTAAAACTGAAAGCAAATTGTTAAAACAAAATTTCCTATCCACTAAGAATAAAATGAGTAGTGATGTTAAAAAAAAATTCACACTCAATTTTTTTTCATAAGGAAATATAAGTAGCGTCAGTTTAAAGACAAGAAAATTTAAATATATAAAATTATTTGTTGCTAAGTGCATTCTAGATTATTTAAATTTATACAGGGACTTTAATATTATATTATTTAGGTAACTTTAACTATTCATTTGGAAAAATCTAAACTTTCCAGTAATTTTAAGCTCTTGAAAAAGTCTAATAAAAATGTTAGTACAAGTTTCTATTGCTGCACAACAGAGTCAGTTTGATGCGGCAAAACAATATTATTCCGGTCTGATCTCGGTTGGTCGAAGCTTACAGGGGAAGTACGGAATCATGCCAAGTAGAGCAAGAGCGATTCAAATGCGCCCCAGAAAACTTTTCACCATTCTAAACTCTGAACGGAAGAACGTCCATCTTCTCAATTTATTTCATTTGCTCGAATATGAATTTATTTTTTTCTGCCCGAAGTCATGCATTTGAGACGGGCAGATTAGTAATGTGCTATTTTCGAGTTGGCCGAGGAGCAATAAATTTATTTAGGTGAGCGAGTGTAGTTGGCTTGATAATTAATGAGCGGCTTTATGAGGTGTTGTGTCGTCTAAATTTGGACTTGTCACTCAGTCCGCGACGAAAAGGATATGGCGGCGCTCCGAAAAAAAAATCCACCACCACTAGATCTCGCGTTTCCCTTTTGCTGCCGGCGCGTTAAAATATGAGGCTAATTTTTTAAGATAAGCCACATTGAGTGCAAGCGGCGAATTATTTTTCTCATCTGCGCGGAGCGACGTCTTCCCGCAGAGCGAGCAGATGGCTGCTCGAATAAAAATAACGCAGAGAGACGAGTGAGAAGTTTTTCCTCCCAAATGGGAGCCAGCGCCTCATTTTTTAATATATTTCGCAGGCTGCAAAGTAAGTAAGTTTTTATTTTATTGTTATTTGGCAGCGGCTGCGGATCAGATAGAAAAATGAGCGCATAAATAAAATCAGCGGCAGCAGCGATGGCGGTGCTGCTGATACCGCAAAATTGTAAAAAGTGGAGCCACTAAAACAAAACACACACAACGCGCAGAGGGAATACGGAGCCAAAACGTGCTTACGGAAGAGTGATAGATAAGACAATGGGAAAATTATTTTCGGCTTGGCTCGGCTTCAGCAGCGCGGAGGAAAGCGAATTATGTGCGCACTTATGCCGCATTAAGGCCGAGGCGTCGTTTTTGTGTTCAGCGCCGAAAATACATAAGAAACAGAAACAGCGTCAGGAATAAATTTGTGGGGAGAAGGAGGAAACCACACAAACGGTTATTGGGAAGATGATTCAGCGAAGGCGATGAATGGCTTCATTCGAAGAATTTATTTCATCCAATTTGACACAACTTATTGACTTTTAACAACCACCATAAGACAACTTCCAGTTTAATTAATAAATTATCTTTTTTTTTTAAATTGTAAGAGAATTACAAATTATTTATTTTGCAGAGCTTCTTCAATAGCTCCATTGGAAAATATTCTTCTAAGTTTCTCCAAGTAAAAATAATAAAACGCCAAAATCTAAACTGGGCAGTGATTATAAAACAATAAAAAAGGGAAAAATTAACACTTTTCCACTTTCAAGTCCAAACGATTTAAACAATATCAACAGATTGAATTAATTGGTAAGGAAGAAGGTGTCCTAAAATTAATATATAGAAAATGGAAAATATCCTAAAATTAAAAAAGGAAAACAAATAAAATGAGCAAATTTTTTTAACGTTCTACAAGGAAATAAAATTAATTAATAATTTCAGGAGAATTAATATTCAATTTTTAACAACTTGTGATGTTTCATGTTTGTCAATCTATCAAACTAAAACATTTAAAGCAGCACATTTCTACTCCTGATCGATTTGAATCACCACCTGCAAATTATCAATTACACCTCGCATCGTCGTGTGCAGCGAAGGGGTGACGTGAAAACAGATCGCAGCCGTAAAGCCAAAAGATAAAGGTGTGCATCTTGCGCGAGCACAAATTTAATGCAAACATAAACACATAGACGAGCGTTCGCCAGTAAGAGTAATGAGAGGGTTCTTCTCCCCTCTCTAGCGTATGTTTTTATCTTGTAATTAGATACGTGTGTATGGTGTGCTCCCCTTGCAATTTACAACTTCCTGCGAGAGCAGTGTGTTATCAGCCAGAGACCTATGCAAATGCTCCCACAGTTGGGCTGTTCGCATGTCTGGGCCTAATCAAGGCCACGGGCAGATAACCCGAAAATCATCGGAACTGACGCACTTGTAATTTATGCCCTCTCGCCCGCCGCTGTAAAAATTAATGGCCGACCATGCAACTCTCGAATTTCACTGGCACCTTCTTTCTGACTATCTTCTTTTTCGACCGGAGATATCGCATGCACGTAAGTGGGGCTCATCGATCTCTATCAAGTTTTGTTTAAGTGCTGCTTTCGTAGTTTAATGTTTGCTCGGCGTGCGTGGACTGATGTTTCGACATGGCTGTGAGACTTTCACTGCCAGAGTCAATAGTGGATGGAAAATAACTTCCTATCTCTTGCAGGTGTTTAAAATGAGAGGGAGAGTGTTGGATTTTTATTTCATTTATTTTATATAAATTGAAGCACAATTATTTTTAGGTAAAGAAGAATCTAGGTTAATTTCACTCAATATGGAAAAGTAATTCACAATTTGACTAGAAATTTTTCTTTTGATGTCATGTTTTACTTCTACATTTAAAGTTTTTATATACTAACAACACAAAATAAAATATTAATAATAAATTTTTACCTTTTTTTTAATGTTTTAATAATTTTAATATTTTAATTAACATAATTTGCATTATTTATTATATTTTTTCAGAATCTTATTAAACTAAAGATAAAAATTTTAGTTGTTATATTAAAACTCTGTTTCAGTGTAACTAGTTAAGCACAATAAATAAAAACAAATAATTATAACTTTGTGCATTTGATATCTTATATATAATAATAAAAGACTACAATCTGATAAGAGGTCTTGAAGAATGGCATGCTGTGTGTAAGAGAAAATACATTATTGTTCAAAATCAAATTAAATCAAACATATCGTCAAAACCTAATAATCCATATCTTCCTTAATAATAATAATGCATTAGTAAAATAAGTTCCTAATAGCTGTTGTTTCAGCTAGAGATAATTATTTCTAATGATACGGAATGGAGCACAAAATTCAAAATTAATGACCCGTTCATGTCGCATTAAAGACGAATCTTTAGTCATTTGCTTAATTGTCCTCAGCTCTTGGATTGGCTCAATTTATATCCAATCGATTCGCTCCAGTTCTCCCATTATCGCCCCCTCAAGAAAAATATACTGTCGTGTGTCATTATCGTGGGAAGAACGCACCAGCTCCAAGTACCGTTATTACTGCTTGTCAGAGTACCAAGACGTGCAATCTTTAAAGCGGATTCAACTTATCAACTCAAGATGAATTCTTCACCAAAAGTGCATAAACCACCAATTCGTGAGAAATTTTTAAAAATTTGAGATATAAACAAGTAAACTTTGTATCAAAGAATATGTAGATTTTGTTTTATAAATAATTCAAATAAATTACGGAGAGATTCACAATATTCTAACTGCCGCATTATCTGCAATCCACTTTAAAAGCAAGAAGTA